CTCTCTCTCCCTTTCTCTCGTTCTTACATGATGCAAACGCAACCATCTGTTTAAACAAATAATAATGTTGCACAAAGTACAGCCTAAAATAAGACGCTTAAAATAACAACGCTAACCTTCAATGAGAAAATAAAACAAAACCCCAAACCTTTCAGCAATAATGAGAACAAACCAAACAAAATAAATAAAATTGTAAACTATCAACAATTTTAAAAAAATGCAGAGTTTACCAAATGCAGGAAAAACCCAACTATCGTTCTAAAACGAGAATTCTGATTATACTTCCTTTAACGTATTGTTTCATTTTTAATGGATGGATAAATGCACGCTCAGAACCACTGGTCTTTTAGACAAAGAATGGGAAAGGAATAAAGATAACAGCCATTTGCTTGTCACATCTCTATGCCAGTTTAAATGTAACAATCCTGGCTCAAAACCTAAATCTCACGATGGCTTTCTTGCTCAAATGTATCTTTCCTGGCTCAAAACCTAAACCTGGCCATATTATTACTTTCTATCTAGTTCAAATGTATCTTTCCTGGCTCAAAAACCTAAATCTAGCGTTTGCTTTGGTTCCAGTCTTTTTGCATTGCTCCGGGTGTCCGGACCTCGCTCAGTGAGAACTTACGACTTGCAGGATCTTCTCGGCGACTTCACTAGACCGTCGTGTGATAGGTGCGCCCGCACCAGTGTTGTCATGGGGATTTTATCACGATATTGAACTTCTCTCCAAGACCAGGTAAAAAAAAAGTGATAGACGTTTACGTTTTGTTTCTTGTTTTGTGTTTGTTACCTAACTTTCTAACGCTCTGTTTGTTAGCACGTGTGTGTGTATGAGTGAGTGAGTGAGTGAGTGAGTGAGTGAGTGTGTGTGTGTGTGTGTGTGTGTGTGTGTGTGTGTGTGTGTGTGTCTCTCTCTCTTTCTCTCTCTCTTTCTCTCTCTCTCTCTCTCTCTCTCTCTCTCTCTCTCTCTCCTTCTCTTACTCTCCTCAACATAGATCAGGTAAATTGATAAACGTATACGCTTCGTTTGTTAGTATTGTGCTCATTTTCGTACTTTCTGATGCCCCTTTCGTTGCGTCCATTTATGTTACTTTCTCTTCGCGGATTAAAAAAAAAAGGGGATGGGGGTGGGGTGGGGGGTGGGGGAAGGTTCGGGCGTGGGATGAGCCACCATTGGTAGGTCCTACTTCTTTACAAAAATCTCCCTCTGTTATTTTTTTTCTTTCTGTTTTACCCTTCCCCTGCTCCGTATGGCCGCTATCATGTCGAAGTGCTTTTATTTATTCAAACGAAAACCAAACACTGAAATATCAAATCCGCAATATGTAGTGTGGGTGTACACGCCTGAGTTTATTCAGAGGTGGCCTTTGGCTTTTGAATTAAGGCATCCCACAACGGCATGACAATTGTTTTTTATAATTGAGATGTAGTTGCTCAGAATTGCTGCCTTTTCTTTCCTCATCCTTACTACGTCATTTTTCCTCTACTTCTTTTGTATGCTTGTCACTCTCTTGTGAACTGCTATTTCCGGGGTGACTTGATTATCGAAGAAGACATTGTGCTGTTTAGGCTAGAGAGGTGAGGAGAGTAAGCCTGATTCCCGGTAAAGACTTTTCTGTTGACCCCCCCCCCCCCTTGGCGCTCGTATGACCTTACGTAGTTGCCAGCGCCCAAGGACTACTATACTGAGTATAGTAGTCCTTGCCAGCGCCATAAAACCTTACTAAAACTAGTATTACGTTGCTGAGATACCCACTGTGGTTCAATTAATGAGGCTCCCATCCTGTACAGTAAAATAGAGTATTCTTGTAACAAATGGATAGTCCTATTGGAAGTGGCGGCAAAACATACATTATGTCGCCTTCCCTAAACACACAGTCAGGGTGAAGAAAGGATCTATTTATTACAGCCGACAGCTAGCTAGACTTTGCATATGGTACGGTATGGTATGGTATGATTTAGTATGATATGGTATGGTATGGAATGGTATGGTATAGTATGGTATGGTATGGTGTGGTATGGTATGGTATAGCATGGTATGGTATGGTATAGTATGGTATGGTTTGGTATGGTATGGTATGGTGTGGTATGGTATGGTATTGTATGGTATGGTATAGTAGGGCAGTCAACAAGTGTGCCAAATCATTTGACTATAACTCCAGAGTTCTTGACGTTATCGCGGAACAGATGTCGTTTTTGGAGTCTCGCAGATATGGTCGCCGTTAATCTCCTGGGAAACCTGATGCCATTTTTTTGGGCAATCAAATAAGAAGGTAATGACGCGTCTTTGTTCTAGTGGTTCGGCTGTAGGGCTAGCAACTGAAAGTGAAAGGTTGTGGGTTCGAACTCCGTCAAGGTTCTGACGCTGTGTCTTTGGGGAAGGTGCTTACAAGAGTTTACCTAAATCTCTCAGGTGGGGCTGGGTACCTGGCTATAAATGATGATAATTTATTGTATTTATAAATCATATAGCACATATCCCCACTCTACAGCATGCTCTATGCGCTTTACAACCATTATCACACCAGCACACTATAAAGCACTCAGAAACATTATTAGCTTCCTAAAATGCAGACAGTGCAAACTAAGGGTTTCACGCGCTAAAACTGTATCAAACTGACAAGATATTTCGCCGTCGAAAGCCGGGTACGCCTTCCAATCAGGGTGAAGTGAGGACAATTCGTGTAAAGTGCCTTTCCAAAGGACACAACGTCGGATCCAGGACATGATTCGAACCCACGACCTACGGTTGCGAGTCCGAGAGCCTTACCACTAGCCAACGACGCTACCCAATAAATGATGAAAGACCGTGTCAGTTTGTCAGTATTTGAATACTTAATCGGCTGTTCGCACTGTTTGCTTTCCGGGCGGCTGAAAGTGTTTCTGACTTTCTTAGGTCTGCTGGGGTAAAAAGTAAAGTTGCTCCCACATCCGATCCGGACATTGGGTATTGTTAGTGAGACAGCTTCCTGGGCCTTCGGCATATTGTGGTAGTGTGGCCAGTTCGAAGTCAGGTACCTATTACTGCTAGGGTAATACACGTAATAGATATAATAGACAGTAAAATGCACAGAGCTTGCTATGAAGTGGAGAAGTGCGCTGTAAAATACCTTTATTTAGTCATCATTATTGTAATTTATATCAGTATTATTAATGTGCTACAAACTAACATGTTCAAATTACATGATTTTGTATCATGTAGAGAAAACAGGTGGTGTCCTTCTTGGCTCGGACTAATCACTTCGCGCCCCCTGAATGATCTTACCCCTTGTCTAGTAATTATGCCCTTCTTCCTATTCACATATCACGTAGTCTGTCCGACTTTCGGGGGACCACTACAGACGGTGCAACCAGCCTCTTCCATTTGTCTCGATTCTCAGCGGTCCTTAGTAATCACAACCTATCCAGGCGTTGACTTTGTATTCCTATCGTTTCCCCTCTCTTCCTCTTCATCTCAATCCTTGTGTTGTTCCGTGTGAGATAGATCTTGGCCAGTCCTGAAAAACATAATTTATGCGCTCGATATTTTCTTACCGCACTATTACAAAAGTAAACGTTTTCCCAACCGGTTAGAGCCTTGTTCCATATTACACATGTTCACCTCACAGTAAAGCGAGCGCGCTGCACAGGAAGGTAATCAAATCTTGTTAATGCTTTTTCATTTTTATGGGATTCTGACTGATGTTTGATGGAGTTGTTTGTGGTGGCATGGGGAATTTCTCTGGGGCTATGGTGTTAAGGAAAACCTGTTAACTTTGTCCATCCTCTCTCTCTTTCCATATCTCTCCCCCCTCTCTCTCTTTCCCTCTCTACTTTTCTCTCTTTCCATCTCTATCTTTCTCTCCTTCCAGCTCTCTCTATCCCCCTCTCTCTGATTCTCTCCACATGTCTCTCTCGCTCTCATAGTTTCTGTAGCTCTCTCCCCATCTCTCTCTCTCCATCTGTCCTCCACGTCTGTCGTTCTCTCTCTCTCATTCACCCCCCCCCTCTCTCTCTCCCTCGCTTTTTCTTCACTGAACTTCACGTATTCATCCCACCATCGCCTCTTTTTGCTCTAAATATAATATTGTGTGATTTGAACACAATTGCTAACATTAATTTGAAGATTCGAGCAAACTCGTCAGTTTGTCTGTCAGTTTGTTAGTCAAGCGAACTCGTCAGTTTGTCAATCAGTTTGTCTGTCAGCTCGTCTGTTATTTTGTCCGTCAAACTGTCTGTTAGTTTGTCTGTCAGTTTGTCTGTCAGTTTGTCTGTCAGTTTGTCTGTCAGTTTGTCTGTCAGTTTGTCTTTAAGCGTGCCCCCAGCTTGTCCCACAGTCATGACCTTTTATTAAAAAAAAAACCCCAATTGAAAGAACTGTGCCTTCCTCCCCAAAAGCAGTTTGCAGAATGTTTACTCTGTCTGGGGAACAGGTCCTTTTTGGTGTTAATTTAAAGGTCAAGGTCTCGTACGCCATCGTTATAATGAAGGGAGAGTATCGTTTATTTCATAGCCTGGTCTCGCGTGTCAGTGCTTATGGTGACCTTTGCAGCATACTGGAGCACAGTTCAGCCACGAAAGTCAATAACGTTTTGGGCTACATGCTTTCTTTTGAACTTGTTCTTCTGTGTCATCTGTTGATGTTATTATATTTGCACCGGAAAAGATCATAGCAGACGGTTAATATACATTGTCATGCGTTGGAAGTCTTTCTCCCCCCCCTCTCTCTCTCTCTCTCTCGCTCTCTCTTTCCACTCTTTCTCTCTCTCTCTCTCTCTCTCTCTCTCTCTCTCTCTCTCTCTCTCTTCCCACTCTTTCTCTCTCTCTCTCTCTCTCTCTCTCTCTCTCGCTCTCTCTCTCTTTCTTCCCACTCTCTCTCTCGCTCTCTCTCTCTCTTCCCACTCTTTCTCTCTCTCTCTCTCTCTCTCTTCTCTCTCTCTCTCTCTCTCTCTCTCTCTCTCTTCCCACTCTTTCTCTCTCTTACTCTTTCTCTCTCTCTCTCTCTCTCTCTCTCTCTCTCTCTCTCTCTCTCTCTCTCTCTCTCTCTCTCTCTCTCTCTTCCCACTCTTTCTCTCTCTTACTCTTTCCCTAGCAGCTTGTTCCTCTTTTACCAGTGCAAAATAACCGCAATTGATTCGATTTTCCTCTTTTTACTCAACCACAACAGAAATATTCTTCTGATAAAAATCATTTCTATAGCGCACACTACATAGTGGCTCTTGTCGCTTCGCAATAATATAGTAAAATTGTGTCACGCAGCGGTGGAACCAGGTGCTTATCAAATTTTTAGAATTGAGAATGTGAAGTTATTGGTAGCATCTTGAGGCTTGTTCATTTGTCTTCATGTTGGTAAAATTGCCCCACCCCCCCAATCTATCTTGGATTGTGTGGGGATCGCCTGGTGTCAGACGAGACAAAATTAGCCAGGAAATAACCGTCAAAGTTTGGTGACTTCCAAAGCTTGAGTACGCATGGAAACTTCAAATTTACGTCATTTTTACCTCTCATCAAATTTCTTTGGTAAAATCTATACAGAAATGTGCTTTTAAATGGAGATAAAAGACGTCAATCTTTAAAAAATCGATACAAATTGCCCAAGAGGCGGAAAATGTTAGTTTTTCTTTTTCATTTCCATTGTTTTGACGAACACCTGATACCACCACGCCATGACACAATGGACAGCTTTCACAAGTGACATGTTTCCTGTATACCGGCACATTCAATGTACAACAATCCTTTCAAATACGTAAGCATTCA